AGGAAGCGAGGGCGAAGGGGGTGCGCGGGCGCTCGATTAAATTTCTCCTCGACGAGGCAGACTGTCTCGCGGCTTAATCGAAAAACCGATACGCTCGCTCGCGAACATCGCCCGTAGTCCAGGTATTCGGGGGTAAAAATAGCGGAACGTCAATCACTAGCATCGCGCGCTCGCGCACAACACATGCCGGTTCCGGTCGACGCGTGCACGTCGCGCGAGCCGCGTTTCCACGAGCGAGCGAACGAGCGAAAGAGAGAGAGAGAGAGAGAGAAACGGAGGGGGGAGGACTGTCCGGCGAAATGAGAGAAAAATTGAGCTTAATAGAATGGGGGCCGGGTAATCGAGGAAAGTGCGGCGGCCGATGGACGACCAAATAATCGTACCGGGGAACGCTATTTAAGCGGGCGGTCGGGCGGTAAAAGCGCCGAACGAGCCTTAAATTTCATGCCACGTTCCACGTCAGATATTTAAACCGGTAATAAATTTTGCGCGCCACACACAGGTGCGGAGAGAAAGAGGGAAAAGGAATGAGTGAGGAGGGGGGGGGGAGGAGCGAGAGGGNAAGAGAGCCGTCGACAGAGCTAGCTGGATGGCTGGCTAGGCGAAGGGAACAAGAAAGAGAAAGAGAGAGAGAGAGAGAGAGAGAGAAAGAAAGCACTCGCTGCACTTTATGGCCACTCTTTCGGGACAAAATTCAGGGGTGGGAGAGAGAGAGACCATCTCTCTAGTCCGCGCAGGGCACGCTTAAGCATATAACGTGTCTATATACGTGTCAGACGCGCGAGAGCCCGGGCTACTTGCCGTTATATCACAATGTGGTCGAGTTCTCCTTGTGTATCTTGCATTCTCGCGCGCGCGCGATACACCAGATTACATTTTACACCCCCCGTGTGTGTATCGAGAAATTTTCCCTCCTTACACGCGCTTCCTCGCTCGATCTACGTACACATGTAGTTATTGTTGTCTCATCCCTGTATTGTCGGTTCCTTACGCTGGTAGATTCTCGATTAACTCTTTTTTTTTTCCTCGTTGCATGAAGGCGATGTCGGTAGAGATAGAGAAATAAAGTTGGGCTTATTACAATCTATCATGTACGCTTAAAATTCGTCGTCGTACGAGATACGTATATTACTTATATATATATATATATATATAAGTAAATATATATATATATTTATATATATATATAATTTATATATATATATATATATTTATTTATTTATATATATTTATATTCATATTTATATATTTATATATTTATTTTTCTCTCGGTATGTATAATGTCGTGCGCATGTACGTGTGTGTATGTGTGTGTGTGCGCACGTGTGTGTGTGTGTGTGTGTGTACTTATATATGTATACGTACATCATATATATATATATATATATATATATATATATTAAAGTTTGTCACGGGGCGCAGTGCGCGACAATAAATAATACGCGACTCGCGCGTGCACGTCGCGCAGTCGGGATACTGGATTATTTATGTGACGTCAGTCTTGAGTGAGGCTTGGGATCGAGGCTCGCTACCGTTCTCTTTAAATATCGTCACGTCGATCTGCCGCCGTTTTTCCCGCCGCCCTCCCCCGCGTCCCCATTGCCGCGTCTCCGGCCATCGAACGTCAAGCGTCGCGGTGGCTGACGTTCGTTCGGGCGCGCGAATAATTGAAACGGCCGCTTATTCCATCAAGCCGGTAATTAATTATCTTTTCGATCCGACGTAACGATCTCCCAGCCATCGGATAAATATCTCACCCGCCCCGCCGAGCCTCTGCTCGTTTTTCCTTCCCCCGCTCGCCCCTACTCGCTTCACCTTCCTCTCTCTCTCTCTCTCTCTCGCTCGCTCGCTCTCTCACCTGTGGATCGATAGCGAGCTCGATCTCCGTTGCACATGCGCGCGCCGAGCGGACCGAATCGTTAAACGCGACTCTTCCGGGAGATTCGTCCGAAACTCGACGAGCTTCTCCTCGGCGACGATCCTCCTCGCTTTCGTCGATTCCGAGGGAAGGAAGGAAAAGGATCCCACGGACCGGAAGTGGCGACACGTCACCTCGAGTCGCATCGCGAAGGTCGACGAAAGCTCGGCCGTTTCTTCCTCCGTGGATACCACGGATACCACGGAGGAAACGCGACGAAGGGCGAGGGGTCGGAAAGCTTTGCGGATTGCGTCGAGAACGAGAGCGAGCCGCGACTTTCCGCGCCGGCGATCCTCGCGGACGAACCTCTCGGCACGGGTCGGAGTCTGCGAGGTCACTTTTGCTGTGAAACTGATATGCCAATTGAATAATTCCGATTGTTACGCGCGGTGTTCGTCTATATGTATATGTTTATATATAATATATACCTATTCGCAGGAAGAGTGGCGTAGGTCGAATGTCTCCTTAGAAAAAGGACCGTGTCCGAGGTCGCGATTATTCGTTACGCGCGGGGAAATTCATCGATGGCAGTGCTCGTCGTGAAGAGAGTGAAAGTCAGCGGAGATTCAGATATTAATAGAGAAACGACGTTGAATTCTATGTATCGGAAATCGAGGGGCCACCTTTTCTTCACGGTGATATTTGCGGCAAACGAGTGAGAAAATGAGGGAGGATCGGTAAAAAGTAGAGACGTGCGAACTATTCGAATCCGGAAAATTCGAAAATTTCGAATCGAGAAGATTCGAATGCGAATCCCCCTCCTCGAAAATACTAAAAGCTGAAGACATCGATGAGAGACGTACTGTCAAAATTGTGCGTTTCAATAAATTTTCGTGATATCAAGTGGATCTGTGGATAGTTGAAAAGCGCTGACATCACTAATGATTTTTAATCATTCGATATAAATACGAGATTTAGCTTATATTATAGTGTTGATTTCATAATTTATAATTATTCTGACGTGGATCGTAGATGTGCTAATGTTTATCCACGATGCGTAATATATTTTTATGAAACTGCATTTCTAACATCATTCAGTTTCTGCATTGATTGTAAACGGCCGATAATGTCAACGCTCTTCAAAGTACTTTGCTAATTGATTTATGATCTTTCACATCTGACTGTTTCAATTACTACTATCCTAAGTAAAATATGTTTCATCAGTATTAATTTTATTCTAAATATTTAAATATACATATCTTATATTAAAGTGAGTTGATATATATCACAATATCGATGTTATGCCTCTCACACCGAAGTCTCCCCTCACGATCTTCATGTTGAATGAATTCAATGATTATGTTGTTAATTAAGAATTATGTTTCAGCGATTCGGTCTCGAAAGTAAAAAAATGAGATTTAATTCGATTCGACAAGAATTCTTGATTCGTACGTCTCTGGTAAATTGGAAAGATCAGGATGCGAAAAGTTAACCTCAACTAGTCTGAGTAAGAATAATCTCCACATAATTTGTAGCTACTCGTTATAACTCGGCATGTAAAAGGAATTTTTTGCGTCATCGTGTACTAAAATTACAACAGAACTAATTGACACTTACAATATGCCACATGCTCTCACTCGCAGTCACCGTAACCAACGTGGCGCCTGGTCATGAAATTCAAACAGCCACTCAAACCGAGATCCTGTTCACAACATGCGTCGTTTCTCTATTAATATCCAAAACTCTAAGAGTTAATTGCGCCTCGCTTTAGGGACGCTCTGCATCTGCTTCTGTTTTCTTCGTCTTCGTCTCCTCCTCCTTTGCTGCTCGCGACGCTTCGAAACTTTTCTACTCTCTCTCTCTCTCTCTCTCTCGGGGGGAGAGGGAAAAATATCATCGTCGTTGTAACGAGCGGGATCTCACGCGATCCCGGGTTCTTTCGTCGCTCGCAGCGTTTTCGCCTCGAAATGTACAGCGCGCCGTTTCTTCGCCGCCACGGTGCCTGCCACGAGAGATCGACGCTCGCGCGTGTCTCCCTCGCGTCTTCGTGGCCACCGGCTTCTATTTTCTACGTTCTGTTCCATGCTCGCATCCTTCTGGCATCCTTCTCCCTCGAAAATCGCGAATCCGCCGGACAAGACGCGGAGCGCAGCGATATTCCACAGGACGGCGAACGCGCGCGGAATCGAATGAGATTTTCTCGAAGAATAAAGGACGCGTACAAAAGACGATCGGCAAAAAGAGTGTTTCTTCTCGGTAAATGGTATTTAGACGGCGTCACGCACATCGCGCGACGAAGCCGCCGTGATTGGTTCCTCGTAAAAATGAAATTCAACCCTCTTAGTTAATTATTTTTTGATGACAAAGTTCTATTTCAATTCATTAATAATAGTAATTTTCTTCATCTTGGTGTTGGATTTTTTGTGAGACTAATAGATATCTATTTTAATTTATTATGCCCTATCTATATTTTTACTGACATTGTTTTTTTTTTGGCCAAGTAATGTCAAATTCAGTCAAAACGGTCTAGACTATTTTGTTTATATTTGATACTATTTTATTATGCAGAAAAAGTAGATATTAAATATTCAAGCCGTTCTGATAGAATCTGATATTATCTGGTCGAGAAAAATAGCGATAAAGGAAACATTAAATTTGATATTCACCAGAAACCAATTAAAGATACTTGATCCAATTAAAGACACTCACTAACGTTCATGCACAACCTCGAGCATCCAATAGTCACAGGATATACAGAGAAAAGGTTTCTTTGAATTTAGATTGAATGAAAATGTTGTTGTTTCACTAAAATAAATCATGTTTTTGGTAGAAAAACAGCATTATAATTATAACATATAATATGATAATAATTATATATTATATTATTATATATATATATATATATATAGAAGAAATAATATTTCGTTTTCAGTAAAAAATTACTTTGCTACATATTAAATATTGTTCTATTGAAATAAAAAGGAATTCTTGAATATTCTTCTAACATAGTGTTATTTCTTTCAAATAGTTTATCGCTTGTGACAACCATTGTAACCAATATCCGGATGAAAATATAAAAGAAATACGTTATCCGACGTAAAGAGAGATATTTATTTATTGTTTGTGAAACCAAACAATCCTGTTTGTTGAATCAAACCGCTCGTTTGTTCGCTCCATTCCAAAGGGCAATTTTGTTACGATTGAAGGAACTGTTTTTCAATCCAAAGAAACCCCTTTCTCCGCGCAGACGCGACGAAAGCGGAGTGTGATTCGACAAGGAAGAGGAGGAACTTGAGTTTTTCCCCGTTCGCGCGCCACGAGGACACCGGTTCGTTAAGCGTGTCGATTCCGGGCGCGATCGCGATTTCACGCGGGTCTTCTCGGGCAGCGTTCGCCGGCGGAGAGCGAGAAGTGGAACAGAATTCCGGAGTCGGAAGATCGCGCTCGGAGTGCTCGCTCGATCACGCGATCTCCCTCGCTACTCTCTCCCTCTCTCTTTCTCTTTCGCTGTGTAACGAAGTATCCACCGTACCTTCGATCCGTACGCCGGCTTCTTTCTCTTCTTCTTCTTTTTCTTCTTACGTCGAGTGTCCCGCGGGCTGCGAGCAGCAGCCCTTACGCGTATCTGTGCAAGGAGTGCTCGCGGCGCTTACTACCTCGACGTTCTCGCTCGCAAACTGGTTCCGGACTCGGCGGGTTCGAGTACGTCAGGTTGCTGGAGCCTCGGGGGGGCGGCGCGCTCATCGGGGGCGGCGGCGGCGGGAAAAAGCTCTGCAAGCACGCCTAATGCATCGAAAGAGCGCGTGAGACGACGATAGCTGCCGCTTATCGCGTGTCCGCGCGAGACGTTCCTCCGTGAGCAATCCGTGGTACGAGGTACACCAGGTTGCCGTACGCGGACGACTCGTGTGTCGCTTCTCGGGGAAATTTCGTTCGCGAGAGGGCCCGGCGGTTTGGAACCGGTTAAAAGGTGATACGAGGGGATTTCTGGGACACGGACGCGTACTGAAAAAAAAAAAATGGAAAATATAGCGAGTCGGGTTTATTTCGCGACAACACCTCGAAAACCGGGTTAATCTCGTTTGCGATTCCGTCTGACCTCTCGCGCGACAACCTGATCTTTCTCGTTCCATAAATGCCACAGCGAACGCAAGAAGCGCGCTCCCCGCGGACGTAGATTTTCGCGGACTTTTGGTAATTTTACAACGAGGACGTTGCAAACATAGTTGGGATCTTTGAGGAGATTATCTCTTTTCGTCTTCCAACTCCATAGCGCAATAGAAAAGTACTAAATTCGAGTAAATAATCAGTCTAATAATCTTTGGCAAATTTTTACTTGGATCAAGTAAATTTAACTTGGAGCAATATATCATATTTGGGAAATATTTGATCAAATATCAAGTAAATATTAATCCGAATAATATTATTTAATCCAAGTAGATATTACTTAATCCACGTAAAAATTTGCGAAGAAGTATTGGAATAACTATTTACTTGAACCTAACACTTTTACTTCTGTACATGTTTTCTCTAAGATTAGAAAAATAATGTAAATACTAAAATAATTTTTCAATATTGTGTTACATCATCAATTTTAGTATAATTATTTTTCATGCTCGAGTTAATGCGCGTGCATCATGGTAATATGAAATAAAGCGCTGCCCGAGTTAATTCGAGCTTCCGCATTAAGAGGTTAATTACGTAGATGTGAAACAGATATGAATATACTCGAAGGAAAATCAATAATCCAACATCGGGGACATTTCAATTCGGATGGACGTGATTAAAAAATGAATTTTGTGCCTTATTTTTGGTACACTCACATTGCAATTTATTGATAATTTTGATAATTTTACAACGAGGACATTCGCCAATTCTGAAATATGCATCTCACAATTTACCGGCTAAATGAAGCGTGTGTTATTCCATTTTTTGTTGTAGCTAGGTCGAGTTTCTAAAGCGCAAAGTTAGAACTTGCTGGAAGATACACCATTTTATTTTCATCTCAAAATCTAATTAAAAAACTCCGTCGCGATTTTTCGGCTAATAGAATGCGCATTTTATTTCCTCCAACAGAAACTCACGAATACAATTCGGATTTTTATGACAATTTCTTTTTTGCCTTTTAATTACATCGATATCAAGCAAATTTAAGTTTTAATTCAAGCTTGAGGGAAAATCAAAGATCAAATGTCGAAGAAATTCAAGCTCGGCTCGACGCGATTAAAAAGGGAATTTTACATCTTGTTGCTATACACTCATATTGCAATTTAAGCTCTAAATAATTTATACGAGGAAAATTGCAAATACAATTAGATTCCTTAAGGAAGGTTCTTTTTCTTCGTTTTTTAATCTCGTCGGCAAGAAATAAGTACGAACGCTCGAAAAGATATTACAGGTCCGTTGTGAAAGAAACTCGATCTCGACTCAACGCGATTGAAAAAGGGATTTTGTACTCTACCTTTGCGCTACCCCTGGAGGACGATTTCGAGAACACGCTGTCCTGATCGCTGCTTACGCTAGGCACGGGCATTGGTACTGCGTAATCATAAGTAGCATCTGCATAATAAAAAAATATCTTCTTTCATCGTCTTGCGCATACATAACACATTCTTTTATCACGTTGGTACAAAAAATTCGTTATTTTCCTTTTAGATTCTCGCGGAAAAGTCAAGTATTGAAAAGGAAAACGGGGAGTTCTCGTTAAATGTTAGAGAATACACCGAGAGAGGAAATTATGAATATAGTTAATGAATATGCAACACACTTCCACATGAAAGTCAGTGCCAATTTTGAGAAGATTTTCAACCATGTGAAATATCGCTTAATCATTCAACTCTTTAATATTATGTAAATATATTCTCTGCTCCTCCAGACACATTTCTAAAAATTAAGGTTTCGTCCACCTTGGCACCACTGTGCGACCTGGGGCGAATATAATGAATTAACGCGCAATCGACTCGTAGGGCTACTTGGCTACTTTCTTCGCGTCTCGGAAGTGTTCGTCAGACTCACCAGACTGTTCGACGTTGTCGTGGAGGTCCTTGTTGTCTATGACAACCGTGCTGTATCCGTAATACGCCGTGTGCGGGGACTCCCGATACTTGTTCTCGTGGAAGGGCTCTTGGTACTCGTCGAGCCTGACGTCACCCAAGAGACGATCGTTGAGATCGCGCGGGAGGGTGGTGAGCTTCGTGCCGGCGTACCGGTCGTCGAGCTCCTCGACCCTGTAGGTCATCAGCGAGGGATCCTTCTCGGTGGTGCCGTAGGCGGATTCCGGCGACAGATGCTGATGATTGCCGGACGGGATCGCGCTCTTGGCGCCGAGCGGGCTGGCAAAGTTCTTCCGCTGCCGGTGACGCGTGACTATTAGGAATATGGCGACCGCCAACAGCAGTATCACCGCGGTCAAGATGCCGATGATCACGGCCATGTAAGTCGGATCGTCCTGCTTAGCCACCGGAACTTCGGCCTGCAGCGGATTGTCGCGGGTCGAAGTTCGGTCCCGCGGTCGCGGGGCCTCCGTCGTCGGCGGTGATTCCGGGGTGAAGTTACCGTGAGCGATGTCTGCAACACGATTGAAACATGCGCTCCTGAACACGACAGTTCGTGGCGGCGATCCCGACGACGGAAGTTTCGCCGCCCGGACGGCGAATGATGTAACGACGAGGTCGGGGAATAAGTTGAACAGGCGAGTCACGTGCGATTCAGTGGGAATTTCAAGTACGCTTCGTGTTAATCGTTACTTCTTCCCGAATCGAGAACATTTATCCACGGTGAATCGCGGGGGACGATTCTTAGAAGTTGTTTTTGTCAAATTTCAATGAGATCCAGAAATGAAATCGACTATTTTCTAACAGCGTCCAATTTCGCGCCTTGGAGACTCGACTGAGCCGCGGCGCGAAAAGAAATCACACGCTTTGTTTATCATCATTTGCGAGATGCAGCTTCTGGAGATTTTTTTAATGAAACTTAAATGAGAATGGAAAAGTGAATTGACTGTTTTTCAGCAAATTTTCTCATTTCGTTTCGAAGTTTTTTAAGTGAAATCTAAATGAAAATAGAAGAGCGAATCGACTATTTCCCAACGAGTACGAATTTTATACTTTGGAAGCTCGACCAAGCGACGGGAAAGAAAGGAGATAAGACACGCGGCTTTATTTATCCGGCAAATCGCGACGGAGCTTTTAGAACATTTTTAATAAAATTTCCGCGAGAAAAAAATCAAGTATTTCCCAACAAGTTCCAATCCCGTACTCGGGAAACTCGACTAAGCGGCGAGGAAGAAAGCGCGATAAGACACACACCCGGCAACCCTCGCGGCCCGTCCTCCCTTCTTCTCTTTTACGCAAAAAGGATGCGGAAGTTTGCGAAGAACGCTCGCGATCTTAGCGCGGAGAGAAATCGCCAGCGGCGATACACGCGCACAGCTCGCGGTGTCCTCACGACTCGGAAGGACTTTCCACTCGCGAGACGCCACGCGAGGACAAAGGTTCTATTCTAAGCGCATGGCAAACGCGAAATATGCTCTTCCCATTCCAAGTTTCGTTTTTCTCACACAAGTGCCGAGTATAACGTTGCTTCGGCTTGAGGAAATCCGAAAGATATATTCCCGATGTGAAATTTTGGCGCTACTCTGACAATCTCTTAAGAATAGTTTACGCCTACTTAGATGACCCATAGACTGGTAAAAACTTACTCTGGCGATACTTCTTCTTTCTTTCTTATTTCTTAAATATACCGTCCGACATTTTAGACATTGATTTTCGCGGCCACTTTATGAAGAAATAAACACACGTTCACATAAACTTGCCTTCCTAAAACGAGCTGAGAGGTCCACTCCTAAAATATTGGAACTTAAGAAACACCCTGATAAATACTAAGAATTCACATTAAGAAGAATATGAATTTATTGGCGACCGTAAAGAAAACTTGCTGTCCCCCTGAAGAATTTTTCCCTGCATACGCGTCCGGAATAGCCGTCCGGGCGTCGCGGAAGCGTGTGGAATCGGGACGATATCGCGCCCACTCACCGGAGTCGAAGGTGACCTCGCTGATCATGATCCAGCGTGAGGCGAAGGTGAACCTCAGCTTGACGAACTTGCCGATCCGGTGGTGCAGCTTCACCGTGACGTTTCGCGAGTGCTCGAAGATCCTGTCCTCCATGTAAGAGTAGACGATCGGATCGCCCGTGTAGTACTCGCCGCCGATGCTGAACATGACGCTGACCTCCGAGAAGACCTGCGAAAGGCGCCGGTTAACACCGTCGCGTTTAAACGCTCCGACAGCCGCTCGAGGCGTTTCGCTACGCTGTTCCGAGCTATCGAGCTTGATTACCGCGGACAATTCGATCTATCGGATCGTGCGCCTCCGTTTACGCGCCTGTATGTATGCGCGTGCGTGTGTGTGCGCGTGTGTATGCTCAGAGCCACCGTGCGGAATTAATTTGATCGGAAGCATACCGCAGGTACTCGATTACGCCCGCGTAATCAGTATTATCGCCGTTATTACCATCAGTAACAGATAACTAGTTAACGGCGCGGCGGGATGACATCGACGGTTTCGATAATACGTAGAGTATCTCACGGGCGCGTTCCGTCCGGAGGGGGGGGGGGGNGGGGCGGTAGCGGGGAGACGCGTGGAATGCTAATTTCATCCCTCGAAGGCGCAAGACAATTCAGCGCCGGGGAATCCGAGTCTCGGCGGAGCCGTGCGAAGCGAGCGAGCGAGCGAGCGAGCGGGATATACCGAGCGAGAAGGCTACGGAGAGAGACGGAGAGAGGGGGAGAGAGAGAGAGAGGGGGGGACAGCGAGATAGCGAGTGAACCGAAGCTAAGACAGCGTAGGAGTTAGGGACGAAAATTACAAAGCCGAGATTATCTAACTCCCTTAGACCCAAAGACGGAGGCGTATGGATTTTCGACGTACTGAAGCCTACCGCCCGCGGATGCGTCGGGAGAACGAGGAAGTCGACGTGGAGGAAGTGGCAGCCGCGAGAGAGAAACCTGAGGGGCTGAGAGAAAGCCGGGGAGGGAGGAAGGGAACGAACGGAGGCAGCTCCGGCGATGCTTTGAAGCGTGCGCGCGCGCCCTGTCTTTCGACGGAGACGTGTCCTATCCGCGCGAGTACGCCCGCGAACGAGCGAGCGAGCACGCTTGTTAATAGGAGAGGTCGTTTCAGGGGGTAGCTCCTGCCACTCCGCAGCCCCATTCGCCGAACTGTCGACTTGCCAGACTGTCGGTATTGTATTTGAATACGTGGCGTATCTGCTCTCGAGCGTCGTTGCTTCTTGCCATTGTATGTATGCGCGCTGGAGAAGGAAAGAGAGAGAGAGAGAGAGAGAGAGAGGGATAGAAGAAGGCATCCTGCTCTATCTCCCGATACCCGTTCTCCGTCGAAGCCCCCCGGGTCTTCATCCTCTTTCCTCCCGAGCCTTCTCACCCCTCGTACCCGCTCCGGTGGCCTCCCCCGCAACGAGTCACCACCGTGGCTGCGTCCTCGGAGCCCCGAGAATGCCTCTCGTCGCCGGCCTGCCTCTTGGTTCTCCTCCTCGCTCGATCGCGAGCGCACAATCGCGCCTGAGCCGGGTAATGAGGCGGTCTATTCAAATAAATCTTGATATCTCGGGGGAGAGTGTTTCGCCGCTTATTGCACACGGACGGCGATGAGACCCCCCGCCGTTCGCGGGATACGACGACGGGGCGAATTTTCGCGGCTGCCGAGCCGCGCGTGTCAAGTTTCGTAACTCGGCGCAATCGAGCGCGCGAGCGAGCTCGCGCGCGCATTGAGGATCCCGCAAATGACGACACCGCGAGTATTAATTATTTTCGCGAGCTCTTACGCCGAGGACGCGCGGCATGTTATTTAATAAGGGGGTCAGAGTGCGCAGTCTACGTTGCCGGCGATCGACGTTGATTTTCTTGGTGAAATGTGTGTATATATATATATATATATAGTCAGTGGAGGAAAGGTTGCAACAAGTTTTTTTGATAATTAATTTTACAACGAATCCGCCTCCATCAGGAGAATTTGTTCGTCAATAATATATTATATATTGTGATAATTTGTGTTTTGATAATTTCTTTTGTACACGGAGAGTCATTCTCAGAAGAGAATACTTCTTATCAACCCATTAACTGCCAAATTTTATTTTTTGAAATTTTTGGCCCGATAATATATATATATATGCACAAAAAGTTGTGTAACAGTATAATTATATTCTAATTATGTTTTGTTTTGATCCCCAAATGGGGATCGTTGCAGCTAATGGGTTAAATATATCCTGTAGTTCATCGAAGTGAAAGTGTTGCGATTCATCGGCTTGATCGCCGCGAAGATTTTCGGTCGATAATTCCGTAAGGCGTTTCGACTCGAGCGGGACAAGCGTGTTCTCGTCAGCCGACGCTGACAGCGACAGGTTCGTTTCGCAATATATCCCGCGCCTACGGAGATAAATGTCGATCCCGAACTACAGAGAGGCAGTTTTCTCGTCTCGCGCCCGGTCCATCCCGGGCCCCGTGCGCTTTTCTTATTTTCGCGGCGCAACGTATAATTAACCGGAATCATTTTTCCCGGCCGGCGTAATTCAGAAATCCAATTTAGCCGGAGCCGATTGAGAGCGAATCTCCGCTGCGATTCCACCTCTCTCCCCCGTTCTCCGGATCGGTTCGTTAAGTTTTTTCGTCAAGAGCCGCTGGCCCTTCTCGAAATTACGCTTTTCCTCCGCCGTCGTCACTACCATCACCGGTGTCTCGCGGGTGTACACATCTACGTGCCGAATTATCTTATTAAAGTACATCTCGCTGCGCGTGCCGTTAGCCGGCTGTTCAGCGAGCCATTATGTAAACACTCGGGCGTAAAAAGTCCGTGGAAGGGAGGGGAAATTTTCCACGGAAAAACTGACGTCTCCGACCCAAAGCCGCGGCCGCCGCTGCCGTCGTTGCCGCTTGAAGCGAAACGCGGTTCCAGCGAGCGGGCGCGCGGGTCGTTTCCTTTTTCTCCTTCCGTCCGTTTCAGCCGAAGCCAAGGGCTAACCGTTGTTGCGCCTCGTTACCCATCCTACGTCCGACCTTGACTCCGACGTGAAAACTGGATTTCATGCCGTACACCGCCTCCTCTTCCTCCTCTACTCTCTCTCTCTCTCTCTCTCTCTCTCTCTCTCTCTCTCTCTCTCCACCCCAATCCTGCTTTTTTCTTCTTCCTTCTCCTTTTTCCCGTTTCTTTTTCTCTTTTTTTTCCTTTTTTTTCGTTATTCTCCGGGTGTGGATTAAAGGCTGGCGGAGGATCTTCTCGGGCGCGCACATTTCGCCGCGACTGTCCGTCTGTTCCTTTTTGCGCTCTTTCGTCTGTTCCTTTCTGCCCCCTTCAGTTCAGTCTACCTACTTTATTCAGCAGCCGTTTCGTTCTCACCGGCGAGTCACTGCGCCGCCGGGCATTCCAATTTCCTCTCTATATCGTACGCGCATCCGTTTACAGTTTTTCCCCACTTATTGTCGCGCGAATACGCGTCGCGGATGCGCGTTGTCCCGAGCGGGTTGAGCCGGGAGATGACGAATGCAGGCGTGCGACGACGACGATGGAGACGCGAATCTCTCTCCGCAAGATCGACCCTCCGTCAGAAATCGAGCCCGTGATAAACGTAGCAGCTACTTTTCGAGTATTTTGCAACTTGTGTGTGTGTGTGTGTTCACCGTCGCAGAAGCGTCGAAGAGATTTCACGGTTGAATGGTCGAATGAAATCCGGGGGAGAGGGGGGAGCTTGCAAAAGTTCGCCTGATCGTCGACGGTTTCATTGTTAGCCGAAAAATTAGCCATTTCGCGCGGAATCGGGCAAATGTATACCAGACGAATGTATATTGATTTAAAATTGATTTGGTTAAGGGCATATAATTGAGAACGAAACGAACGAAAACGAATGAAATTATCCATCTGGCCGGGTAGGGAGTTCAGTAAGGAAAGAGGTGTCCCACAAATGGAACATTTCCGAGCTGAGATCCGAGCAAGTTTTGCAAGCTCCCGAGATACGTGACGATCCGATTCTACGTGTTATCCGCGTCACACGCGGCTCCGAATCGAGCGTATCTCTCGTAAGCGGGCGGACGTGAAACGCCAAGCCAGTCTCCTTACCTGCACGTCCTTGGTGAACTGATTGTTGCAGTAGATATGAACGGCCGAGAACTCGCGCACGTGGTCGAATTCGAATTTGATCTCGAGCGGGTGGCCGGACTTGGTGTCGTTCTTCCAGCCGACCCAGCCCTGACCTTTCTCGTCGTAATAACTCATCTTGAAGTTGTCCGGCCCGTTCTTGCCGTCCGTCAATTGGCCCAGACCGCGCAGTAGCTGTTCGTCCCAATAACCGTCGTAAGTCACGTCGAAGAACTCCCAATTGTTGCGCTTGTCACCCTGCGGCATCGAATACGAGACGATGCCGTCGTTCCACGGGCAACCGTAGAGCTCGACGCGCATGCAAACGGTGCGACGGTGGTAGCTGTAGGGTAGGAAACGAATTTTGGTCGCCAATATCGGTGGCTGCAGTTCGTGCTTCGATTCCAGGTAGGTGTTGCTATTACCTTCGATCACCTGCGTCCGAACAGAACATACAAACAAATAATGTTAGTGTCATCATCGTCATATGTTGTCAGGCGTCATCGATTAGGCGTGCGCGTTCTTCCGATGCGAAAATTGATTGCACGGTTATTAGGGAGTCGATGAAACAAGGTAAAAGATATCGTGGCTAAAATATTTATCTGTAATAGATTTTGCATTTGCAAAAAAAGTGATACCTCGTATCTGCAAGAGATTAAGTTCGCTGTTCATGAAAGTGTAAATTCTTTGTTTCCTTTTTTTCTCTTCCCTTATTGCCACTTTATGTATTTTTTTATTTTCCTGCTTTTTTTGTTTATATTAAAAAGGGAGTTTTTCCCGTTCGTGCTATAAATAAATAAATAAAAGAGATTTGCGAAAGCCATTTTTGGATTTTCAGCTCGGCGAACTAGGACATTTTTTCTCTCGGCTCGTTAAAAACCTTTCTATTCTATTTATAATTTAAAAAAATTGAAGAATACAGAAAAATTTGGTCGTTCAGAGTGAAGTAAATTTTCAAAATAGTTCTCTGCTCCTCTCGATAACTTCCGATTTCGCACACACGAGATACTTCTTCTCGGCCACCGATGTACGCACACTGAATTATATTTCTTCAGTGTATCTTTAGTATAACTCGATAACACCGATTAAGCTTCCATCCATTTAATATATTCATTTAATGGAAATCAAATCAACGTCAGTCAACGTGTTACTTGGAACCCGAGCATCTTACCCGAGACAGACTCTGAATTTAGAGTTCGACTAAAATGCTTTCGAAGCCGAATCATGCGACTCATATGACGTTATATTTGTAATCACGATTTTCAACTAACAAAATCACACCTAACTCCGGATTGAAATCCGAGCATTTCGGATGAGAGACAAACTTTTCAAGTGGCAATCCGAGTCGAAACTTTAAACCTATTTTCGACCGGAATTTTCTAACATTTGTAGGTTCTAACATCCAGGAGGATCAATATAAGTTTAACTTATATGGAAACTTTAGTTCCACTTAATGCCTTTAAGTGGCAGAAAATGTACAAAACGCCACTTGTAGATTCTAAAAAGGACCTCAGCGAAGCCTCGTAAATCTGTTCGAGTCCTCTGAACCTAACCTGTTTCTCTAATATGTTAATTATTCAAGGAGATCACTTTATGTTTAATAGCAATGCTTCTTTACACATGAATGTATAATATACATAATAATATTGAATTCATTTCTATTGACAGTATTGTTGCAGTTTATATTTACATGATTATCAATAATGAAATGCATCTAGGTATTCCCGTAAATCCAGAAGAAGTTGAATAATAATGTTCAGTTAAAGATTGCAAATTCCTCGTGCAATTCTTAACTATACCTTCAATAATTATATAAAATTAAAACGTTTCCGTTTCGTAAAAACCAACGACGGAAAACACTCACACGTGCCAACTTATCGCGCGCCGACGGAGACACGCGTGGCGGATCGTGATTGACAGAAGGAAGTACAACGTCGCACTTAAGCGATACCGTTCGCGGCGCGCCGATCTATCAATAAGCATAGACACTGCGGGCTCGGACGACTCCACCACGTCGGCCCGGATGCCTGGGATGAATCAGCGTCCGTGTAACGTCTTGACCCTTGCCTCATTTACGGACATTCAGCCGGCGACGAGATAGCGCAAACTTTTCGTCGGCCCGTTAATATAAATCGCGCGAGCGCGCCGCGTGATTTCAACCTCCCGGTGTAGTCTTTTTCTCCCCCCAGCCCTCTCCGTCTCTCTAAAAATTTACTTTCTCTCTCTCTCTCTCTCTTTCTTCCTGGCATAGAACAAGGCTCGTTCTATTCAATCGGCCGAGCGCGCGCGAGCGACGGTCGAAACGCACATATCGCCGGGGAGGATCGGGAATTTCTCGGACGACGGCGTCGCTGGTCGAGGGAGGAGAGGCCCTTCGGAACAAAGGACCTCTTATTTTCCACTTATGAGCTCGCCAGCGCCTCTCGACTCGGCGCTCTGGGCTCGCGAGTGCGCGAGAGATTCTCACGTATGGTCGGTGTTACGTGACCGTGTAACCATCGCCGCCGTGATCCCGACAGGTGCGAACGCTCCTTTCTTCTTTCGCCTCTCTTTCTCTCTCGTACGTTCTCTCCGCCCTTTACCGTTCCCGCTCTCTCGCCCCGTTACGTGTACACTTGTCGGCCGTTAACCGGCGCGCGTTCATTCGTCCGTACGTCACGCGTCGTGATTTTAATCGATCTAATGCGCTTAATCGAGCTGCCGCGCGATACGCGTCGCGACTGGACTTCATTGCGGAGACTCGACTTCCGGGAAACGAGTTGGGTAGAATGGATGCGGGAACTTTGAGAGACGCGCTTGCGAAGGTAAACGTGGTATGTGTGTGTGGTGTTTAACTCATTGAAGGCCGTGATTATCTTAGGCATTCTCAATTGAAGGATCTATTCATTTCCCGAAGGCCTGAAATTAGCATTGGAATTCCTCTTGTCGAAGGCGTATAATTATATACTATTTAAATTTCTCGTAGTGGAATCTCAGTAAAAACAAGTGGAAAGTGGCGATGTTTTCAGCGCGATAGCGAAAATACCGGCGCTCTCGAGATCAACAAGAGCGAATGTTTCACTCAAGCTTAGAGTGGATTCTGACTCCATACGAGTGGATGTTTCGATCGATTGGAATGAATTTGTCCCCCGTAACGGTGACGAATACATCAGATTCACTTTTCACAGTTTCGAGTGAAAATATTCACTCAACGCGATCCCGAGTGGAGAATCGTACACAGTGCTCCGCACACAGTGGAAAAGATTTATTTGGATTTAACAAAATTTCTTTAATTGAAACAAATTCGGCATTGTCTTTTGAAACGGAATAAACCAACGAATATTTGACTCGGCAAACAGCATTAAGCGAAATTTGCATATTTTCGAAAATAAAAATAATAGCGTTCGGAAAGCCCATATCGTCGGATATATAGAAATTATTGACGTTATCGCTGAATTTTGATATTGGCCGTATTATTCGCGTCGGTCAGGACACGTTTAACGAGTCTTCCGCAGCCGGCCGGGAATTCATTTTCCTACGAGGCAGCGACTATTTTCGCCTCTCCCGCTCCTCCGCGCTCTCCTCTCTTCTGCCAGCTAGCCAAAGCGAACTGACTTACGATCGCGATGGGAAACACGTTTAAAGATGATTCTCGCGACCGCGCGAACCGGCACGTTCCGCACCGGGTGGCGCGGTAATTGGGGCCCGGTAGCTGACACCGTTTTATTTGCGCCGCGACACCGGTACCTGATGTTTAGCACATCGGGACCGAGGTCGGTGCCGAGGCGTCGGGCCGGGCAAATACAATGAGCCGGCACGTGAGAAATTTTCTGCCGGGCGACGGAACCAACGCCGTCGTGGGCGTTTCCGGAGCTTGACGGTTACGTGTATTGCTTCGCAGAGTGTACGTAATAGCTTCCTGTCTCTCTCTCTCCCCCCCTCTCTGTCTGTCTTTTTCTCTCTATCTCGTTCCGATGATTACACCCGGAGGAACACGAGCTATTTTTGCGCGCCATAAAATGAGAAAGGGTTGAAATTTCTCTACGTGTCGCGTTAATGGCGCGTGAATTTGCCCCGTGGAACAGTGCGCGTGAGATATTAATTACTGCGAAGAAAGGAACGCACGAATATCTCTCCCTCTTCCTCCTGGTGTTTTAGCGATTTTGGCACATACTGAGAAAAGGATTCGGTAACAATGATCGAAATTCGGTTAAATAATTTTGACTAAATTGTTTAGTTATTGCAACCAAATTATTTAATACTATGTATATAGTACGTGGTGCTACAATATAGTATGTGGGTACACTGAGTGATTTGGTTGCAGTAACTAGTCAATTTGGTTGAAACTATTTAATTGAATCTTGGTAATTGTTACAAAATCCTTTTTTTCAGTGTAAGCAAAAGATTTCTCCAGTTTCCAGAGAAACTAAAGTTGAATCAGTCGGGAGTAATTCTCTTTTCGAGCGCTGTTCTATCTCAATTTTGCCGTAATTTTTACGGAATATAATAGCGAAATATTAATTATTGGATTGAAAATTCGTTCCATTTCTCAATCGAAATATGCATAAAATATATTTTTGCGCGCGAGATGTTAATTATTAAAAGAAGGAGGGCCGCGTGAGAAGGACGAGGCGATCCCGGTACGCGCGTAAAAGGCCCCCCCCCCCCTCTCCCCCTTCGGGTCGCCGTGTACATCAAGATACATCGTGGTATCGTAATTTTCCCGTAAGGTATACGCCGTGTTTCTTACCCCCGCCCGCCGAAAACACGTTCTCGCGCGGAGTGTTTTGCTCGCGTTGAAAAATTATCGCGCTGTTAAATTATTCATTCCAGGTGTTTCACCGACCCCTCTCCTCCTCCCCGGAGCGATGTTCGCCCGCTGTCGTAGGGACGCGTCGTTTATTTCTTGCACATTCATATCGCGCACGCCGAGCGTTCTTATTTTACTCGTCGAATTTCGTTTATCGAATTCGCACGGCACGGCCCGACTATCGAGCCTTTTTACGCCGGTGACTCACCGATTCGCCGGCGTTTCGGCGGCCCTGCGTTCGCTCGGTGTGTGCCGATCCTGCCCCCTCTTCCCCCTAAACACGATTCTCAAAGATCCGCGAGGGAAAAGAAGGAAGAGGAGGAGAAGGAGGCAAATTACGACGGCATTTACGAGCCGTTGAGACGCACGCCAGGAAAAATAAGTAATCTCGATATTTATCTTCGCGCCCACGCGCGCGCGTCCGTGCAGCTCGGACCGGCTAAAGGTTGATTCTCACTATCCGTCCGGGCGACGGTAGACGGGAGTCCGTTAATCCTCCGTCGAGACATCCTTCAATGCTTTTGTATCGGAAAATCGCATTATCATCCGTCAACGTCGCCCTGATAGAAGAAAAGCGCCAAAACTGACGTAGGTATGGAAAGTCGACATACCCGTATTCTCGAACTCTTTCTTTTCTCGTCCCATT